CTCTAACTAAAAGAAAATGGTTTTTAATACAACTCCCATAGCAATCCCACATTAAGCGATCCCAAATATCTCGTATAGCAACATTGACTCAAACACTTAATCATTTACATTAAAATATATGTATGCAGGTATGTTTATTATGTTATTGGAAAGAATTGAATACATTTCTCGTAAAATTATAAATAAAATATTTATATAAATATATACGGGCGACTCACAGGCACAACCACAATTAACTGGCGAAACAGAAAAATATTTATATACATATATATATTTATGTGCATAATTTAAAATATGTCTAGCTTGAAAATTTCGCAACAGCTAGATGTAAATTGTGCGCTGTGAGTTGCCATAAATATGTGGAAAACTAATTACTAAAACAAATGAATAATTTTATATAAAGTTTTGCTTTGTGAAACTACGTTTTTTTTTTTTAATAATACTTTTTGCTATAATAGAGAGCGGGTTCTCGAATCACAAAATTTTTAATATCGAACAGAGCAAAGAACGTATATGTGTATATCTATGTAGTTCCTATGGGTAACCGTTTGTTTGTCTGTTTATCTATAAGTGGTCCGCACATATGTGTGAAATATTGTTGTATATTCGTATAAAAGTAGGTGTTAATTTGAGAATTTACTGATATGATAATTAGTACAAAGTGTTTCGATGATATTACAGTGTTTTTGTTTTTTTGTTATTTAAAATAAGTTAAAATTAAACATGATTACGTTATGCCCTTATATGTTCTATAGCTTTCAGCCTACGGACAACACAAATACTCATATATTAAGCAATAGCACAGAGCCCCAGAGGCTTATGAATTTGAGAAAGAGAGCGAATGTATTACGAAATCGGTTTCATCCAGTTTTAATGTGCGGCTTGTTGAAGTCCATTATGTGTTTGTGCCGCGTATGCAATGCATTTGATATCACTGTGCGCCTGCAATCTCCAGTACGAGCGAATCGGAGAATGAGAGTTGTTGTCGGTGTCTGTGTCGCTACAGCTTAGAGCGTAGTCGAGGTCACAGTACTGACGCCATGCACCAGAATGGTCGGCGGCAGCTCGGCCGTTAACTCGGTGAGTAGCTCTATGTAGCTGGCACTACGATCGCTAAAGTCCGTCAATGAGGGCTTTGGCGGTGCAGCCAAGTAAATGAATGATAGAGCAGTCTGATCGGAACGATCGCGTATTATTTGATTAACACGCTGCATATACAATAGCGAATGATTGAATTTGTCCTCGGCTATTTCATCGCCATCGTCCAACAATGCTTCGTCCGCTTGCGACGTAAATTGCCTCAGAATGCGTGCATGTCGCGTGAAGTCCGAGTTCCGGCTCCATTCCTGTATCTCAATAATTTCGGCATTAATACGAAGCTCCTTCAACGTTTGCTCCAGCTTCAGTTTGGAGAATATGTCCATTTGGGGTGCTTGCGTATCAAAGGTGCTGCAAATCAACTCTCTTAATACATAAATCTTTCGTACAGCGTAGAATTGTATTTACCCCACAGCGCTCTCCTCATTCGTTTCGCACAGAAAGATGCGCACTCGCAGATGCTTCCACTTGGCCAACATGATGACCGCCAATTGCATCATGAACAGCGAGACCATGTCAAAGGGATCGCCAGATGTGGGATTGAATACATTAATGGGCCACACATCTATATACTTCACATGTTTGCTTCTGTAAATTGGAAAATGTTCAATAAAGAATCGAAATAGTTTGTTATCCATTTCATGCCAAACGCACATGGTAATGAAATTCTTGTCTAGACGCTGAAAGTTGCGGCACAAGCACAGATTCTTCTTCATGCGCAGAGTATCGCAAAGGATTTGCACATATTCCTGCACCTCAAACTGTTTCGGTTCACCATCACGTCGTATGGGAAAACTGAGTGCATCGCCCTCATTAAAGTCATCCGTTTTATAAGGGGAGGTGCCACTAAAATGTAAAGACAATTATTAAGAAGAATCTCAATAGATATGGACTATCACGAAATACATATTTAAGATATTCACCTATTTAATACCACTTACTTTTGAAAGAAATCCTTTGGTGTCTCATTGTCGTAGAAGCCCAGAATAATGGTATTTGGCTTCATGGCGCCAATGCCGGACAGGCGTATTAAATGCTGAACCCCTTCGCGAATGCTGCGACTGATGGTCACCTCGGTGAAGGCCTTGACACGCATGTGGTCCAGGAAGGACCACCATTGCTGATTCTCGACGGCATCTTCGACGCCATTGCAGTCGCCAAGCTTGACGTGGCCAATGATGTAGAGGCCGCTCTTCTTCAGATCGTTGACAAAGTCCACAAGTGGACAGCAGGAGCGCGGCGAGGAGACCAAGAGTAGAATTTGTGGACGCCAAAATTTGACGTGATCTTTGCGTGGATCCAGCATAAGCAGATATTTGCGAACCTGCAAACCAGAACATCAAGCAAAAGATAATTATAAATTGCATGCGTAGCTCACCTGGTGGAACATCAGAGCTTGGGAAATGGAGCCCCACTGCGCTGCCTGCGTGGCTGGGGAGAAGAGATGCAGTGCAATGACCAGGATCAAACACAATATGATGCAGGATGAGGCATAAATTGGATTGATGACGAACATCATGATCAGTGTGCCCAGCAAACCGACGAGGCAGGTGTGCCAGGTGAAGTATTTGAAGAGTGGCCGAAAATTGGGTGCACCGGTCAGCTCAATGCCCAAACAGGCCAGATTTGTGGCCAAATACGAGAGCATAAACAGGACCGAATTAATTTGGGCAATAATATTGAAGGAGCCAATCAGCAGAATGCATTCGACCAGCACCCAACTGATGACCACAGCGCAGATGGGATTGCCCTTCCAGGTGCCACGGAGCACAAAGTTCAGCAGCGAGCCAAAGACCTGATCCTTGCTGAGCGCCTCCAAAATACGACTGGAACCAATCAAATTGCTCAGCCCTGTCGAGAAGGTGGCGGTCAGAATGCCAATGGCTGTGAATGGGGGCCACAGATTGACGGGCATCAGGAACAGATAGTTGTTCTGCATGGTCACATACGGCGTGGTGCAGCTCATCAGGAATGAGAGTATGATATACGAGACGAATGTGAAGCAGACGGCAGACAGTGTGCCCCATGGAATACTCTTCGAGGGATTCTTCAGCTCCCCGGACATGTTTGCACCAGCCATGATGCCTGTAACGCCCGAGAAGAGAACACCGAACGTTGTTGAAAAGTCCACATTCTTGTAGTTGGATGTGTAATCCGTGCCGTAATGTGAGCCCAAATTCTCTCTCAAGGTTTTGCCACTAAGCCCCGTATACGGCAAGAATTTCGTAGCATTCATAAGCGTATTCACTACCGGCACAGGAATCTGTCGAATAGAGTTAAATTATCGATATGTATATGTTGGTATGTATGTATTTTAATATGTGTATACTAAACAGAGATAGCAGCAGCTTATGGCATTTAATTGATAATAAACATGATACTCTTTAATTTGAGAATGTGCGGGCATTTTAGTTTGTTATCAGCTGCATTCAAATGATTCATATAGCGCGTCATTTTTGTGGCCAGCACATTTTTTCAATCTGCTAGCACATGTACAGTGGAAACTCAATAATATGGAAACTGATATTATAAAAGTAATCAATAATATGGAAACTGATATTATAATAATAGTAATAAATACAGCTAATTAACCTATCTGATTCATGCTTATAAGGCCATTCGCTTATATAGTATATAATATATTATATATATCGACATAAAATACTAATAAATAAATATATAAAAATAAAATGGCATTGATACAGAACATTTATAGAGACTAGCGACTGTAGCTAAAGCCTAATGGGACTTACTGGAGCAAAAAAGAACAAAAGTGACCGATGCCCAAATTAATGCAAGCTAGTGTTATCTTTGCACAACACCCATTATCGCAAGTTGATGAAATTAGTAAATATTATCTATGTCAAATATCACATAGTTTTTTCTGCATAACAATGCGTTGAGCTGTGCTCCGTGCTGGGATTTTTTGTTGTTTCGGAAAGCGAAACTCTGATATCGAATATAGAGATTGATAATTCTAATGAAGCTTTGCATGATTTTCTGTATGATTGAGTGAAAGCCCCCGCTTACCGTATCGTTGGTGGCACCTACGATCAGAAAACTGATATATGTGGCGAAGAGGCAAACGGTTACAGTGGCCAAAATAATCACCGACGTTTTGGCAAAGAGAGCGGCGCCCACCAGGCAGACCAGCAGCATACTTGTATTGATGCCGCTGCTAATTAGGAAGCGCCACCATTTGCCATCGGGAAGGTGGGCCCCACCTTCATTAATGAAATGGCCGCCGGGTCCGAAGTTATCGATGATGCCCTCTGTGCAACCGGATATGGCCATGGCGCAGCCCACCACATTCGCAAAGAAGAACAGGGTGCCAATAGAGCCGCCAAATTCGAGGCCCAGAGTGCGACTAATCATGACTAAAATGTATGGGAAAATTCTTCCAGTTATAAAATTCAAATGATTTCTTTTACCCCATACGGTTACTCACAGTAGACGCCGCCGCCCTCAACAGCGCCATTCGTGGAGATGGCGCAAACGGAGGCGACCGTAAATAGTAGAATTGCGTACGCGATGAGGAACTGCAGTAGCGTGACGTATAAGCCCGCATTCCCCACTATGTAACCTGAAAGCGAAACAAATATTAAAATAAAAAAGCGAGAGAGAGCTGGGGCCATCAATTATGATGTCACACTCACCCACACGTATGAAGACCAGAGCACTGAACATGGACAACGCCACAGGGCTGAATACGCCCGCAAATGTGCCTAGTGTACGTCCGTTGCGTTCCGGATCTTGCATGCCAAACTCTACATAGCCATCGCTCGATTGAGGCGTCATGGGACGTGCGCTCTCCGTGCCGCCTCCGTTGCCACCACCAGCACCAAAGAGCGAGCCAAAGCTGCGAAACATATTCGAGGCGCTGCCATTGCGTGGCGCTGCAATCGGCGCAGTTTCCTGATCTCTGCTATTTCGCATAACAACTGCTAAATGCCAGCTGCTAAGCTGGAAATTAAGAGAAACGCACACACACACACACACACACAAAGGGTTGGTGCTGTACGCCCACAATTGGCGCAAATCAAGCGAATTACTTGATGTGCAGTATTTGGGCCGTTTCACAGCCTTTTATTCTTTTGTTTTCTTTTTTTTTACTTTTTTGTATGTTTTTCGTTGACTGCTCCACTTGTAGCTGGCGGCGCGTTATTTGTTTGTCTGTTGCCACAGAGAAAACACGCAAAACTGAGTCCCCCAAATGCCCCGCAAAGGCCGAGGCTCCAATAACACAGCTGGCCGACGCCATTATTTATGAGACAGTATTTAAATACTCAAATTGAGTATTTTGAAGAAGTTTGCGAACGGTCTCACTATTGAAATGTGAGAAAGAGAGAGAGAGAGAGAGAGAGAGTGCGATACTACACGAATAACTGTGAGTTTCAATATCTGTAATCTATATAACTGACTAATATCTATACTTATACAAAAAGTAAAATAAATAAAACCTATTTTTTATTTGTTGCCTACATATATTCTCTTTCTTCATGCATCACTCGGCAGTCACTGTGACTTGTGTTTACTCACGACTGCACCGGCGCGCTGTGGCAGAGCTCATCTCTAATTTCCACAATCTGCTGTTGTTGTTGTTCTATTTCACCAAACGTTTAGCTGCGAAAAATATTTCTTTTTGACGCTGTTTATTTGTGAAATGGTGAATGATAAAAAGCGACGTTCGCGCTCCCGGGAGCGTTACAGAGACGAGCGTGGCGTAGCCACAGCCGACAGAGATCGGGAGCGTGAGCGGGAGCGCGAACGAGAGCGGGAGCGACAGCGAGACAGAGATGTGCCGAGGCACAGAGAAAGAGATGCGCGCGACAGACAAATGGATAGAGAAAAGGATCGACGACAACGACGATCCCGTTCCAGGTAAGTTAAATAAGTTAAAAAAAAGTATGTGATAAATAATAAATCAATTTGCAGGGAGGACCGTGCCAGACGTAGTGGACGCTCACCGGAGCGTCAGCGTCAGGTGCGTGAAAGGTCGCGGGAGCGTGGATCACGTAATGGCGAGCCTGAAAAGAAGCCCAAATTAGAAAATTCTGGGACAGTGAAAGGCGAAACGACCGACCCATCCAGTAAGCCAGAGGACGAACAAATGGATACCAAGGGCGATGGCAAAGTAAAAAAAGAACCTCTATCGCTGGAGGAGTTGCTGGATAAAAAGAAACGCGAGGAAGAGGCGCGCAGTAAGCCCGTTTTCCTTACCAAAGAGCAGCGAGCCGCTGAGGCACTGAAGCGTCGTCAAGAAGAGGTGGAACGCCTGCGTGCTGTCCGAGATGCTGCGCGGGATCAACTGCAAGCGAGCAGCAGCAAATCAATTACCGGCATAGCCACAGCATCTGCATCCATGCCGGTGGCCATGCCGCCGCCAGCGCCCGTAAAGCCGGAACGCCGCGAACGTGGCGGAGATCGAGGTGACCGTGGCGGTGATCGGGATCGTGACAAGGACAGCAAACGTGTTGAGGATCTAACGCACAAGGATAAGGAAAAGGAACTGGAAGCCATACGCGAACGTTATCTTGGCATTGTGAAAAAGAAGCGACGAGTGCGCCGCCTCAACGATCGCAAATTCGTCTTCGACTGGGATGCGGGAGAGGACACCTCCATAGATTACAATAACTTGTATAAGGAACGCCATCATGTGCAGTTCTTCGGGCGCGGCAATGTGGCTGGCATCGACATTAAAGAGCAGAAGCGCACACAGAGCAAATTCTATGGCGATCTGCTGGAGAAGCGACGCACCGAAGCGGAAAAGGAACAGGAGAAAGTGCGCTTGAAGAAGATGAAGCGCAAGGAGGATAAACAAAAGTGGGATGATCGCCATTGGTCCGAGAAGGACAACGACGAGATGACCGAACGCGATTGGCGCATCTTTCGGGAGGACTACAACATTACCATTAAAGGCGGCAAAATACCCAATCCCATTCGCAGCTGGAGTGAGTCCGGCTTCCCGCCTGAAATCATTGAAATCATCGATTCGGTCGGCTACAAGGAGCCGACGCCCATCCAGCGACAGGCTATACCCATTGGCCTGCAGAATCGCGACATTATTGGCGTTGCCGAGACGGGCTCTGGCAAGACTTTGGCGTTTCTTATACCGCTGCTTTCGTGGATTCAGTCGCTGCCCAAGATCGAGCGTTTGGAGGATGTGGATCAGGGTCCTTATGCAATTATTATGGCGCCCACGCGTGAATTGGCCCAGCAAATTGAGGAGGAGACAATCAAGTTTGGCCAGCCGCTGGGCATACGCACTGTGGTCGTCGTTGGCGGCTTGTCCAGGGAGGAGCAGGGCTTCCGCTTGCGTCTGGGCTGCGAAATAGTTATCGCCACGCCGGGTCGTCTAATTGATGTGCTTGAGAATCGGTATCTGGTGCTCAATCAGTGCACTTACATTGTGCTCGACGAAGCAGATCGTATGATTGACATGGGTTTCGAGCCGGACGTACAAAAGATTCTGGAATATATGCCGGTGACAAATCTAAAACCCGACACGGAGGAGGCCGAGGACGAGAAGAAACTAATGGAGAACTTCTACACAAAGAAGAAGTACAGGCAGACGGTGATGTTTACGGCGACAATGCCGCCAGCTGTGGAGCGTTTGGCACGCTCCTATTTACGTCGTCCGGCCACAGTGTATATCGGTTCTGTGGGTAAGCCGACGGAGCGTACCAACCAAATCGTTTACATGATGGGCGAGAATGACAAACGCAAGAAGCTCATGCAAATCCTGTCGGCCGGCATTGAGCCACCAGTTATCATATTCGTCAACCAGAAGAAGGGTGCCGATGTGCTGGCCAAGGGTTTGGAGAAGCTTGGGTACAACTCCTGCACGTTGCACGGGGGCAAAGGGCAGGAGCAGCGTGAATATGCTTTGGCAGCGCTCAAGTCCGGGGCCAAGGATATACTGGTGGCCACTGATGTGGCTGGTCGTGGTATCGACATCAAAGACGTATCGCTGGTCATCAACTATGACATGGCCAAGTCCATTGAGGACTATACGCATCGTATTGGACGTACAGGTCGCGCGGGCAAGACGGGCGTTGCCATATCCTTTGTTACCAAGGACGACAGCAGTCTGTTCTACGACCTAAAACAGTGCGTCACAGCCAGTCCCGTGTCCGTGTGTCCGCCGGAGCTCATGAATCACCCCGAGGCACAGCACAAACCCGGCACAGTGGTCACTAAGAAACGACGCGAAGAGAAAATATTTGCCTAAGATTGTAAGGAAAATAATTTCGAAGTTATTCTGGATTATTAAAAAAAGCCCAAACTTGGCAAGAAAAGAAAAAATCATTTTAAATTGTTTGATCAGTTTTTATTGTTTTATTTCAGCAACTTTTGGCGTATGCTCAGATTACTCATCTCATCAATCTCAAAAAGAATGCATTTCGACTCTGCTTGGAGTCCATTGGTAAATACTTGTCATAGAAATCGAGGATCACTTCTTCAATCTTGAAACCAAACTTCTGATACAACATTACTGCCGGATTGCTGGCGGAGACATGAAGTGTAATATCCTTGGACATGCAAGTCTGAATGAGATGGTACAGCATAAAGGTGGCTATTCCAGCACGCTGCCAATTGTGGCGCACGGCCATAAAGGAAATGTACGCCTCATTGTAGCCCACATCCGGCACCAGAAAACCACATCCAATGACCAGCTTTTTATAGAGCGCGACCACGCTGTAGTCCGGATAGCTGAGGCAGTCACTCACTGCAACAAACATGGAGATTAGCCTACGTACTAGGTCAACTGTGACTGCACTAACTCACCATCGATACCCGGCCAGAAAACGCTCTGGAGCAGCGCATTGACTGCTGGTATATGCTGAGGGCGCACGTAACAGAAGTCTATGGTGGAGCGGCTGGGATAACATCGATTGACGCGATGCTGAAGCTCGCACATCAGACGCAGCCAAGGCGGACCCATACTCTGGCTGCGATATATGAACGGATGCAGGACACGCTGGGTGTATGGCGATTCGAATAGTTCGTATTCGGTGCTGCCGACAATGCGGGCATAAAATGAACTGCGGTTGTTTGGATTGCCCTGCTCGAGCAGCTGATAGCGATCTAAAATTTGCGACTGCTGCTTCGCCAGCTGCAGACGGGCACGCGCCATGGGATCTATGTGCTCATCCAGATTGAATATGGGTCGATTATGCTCCCGCTTCCACTTGCGCACGCACATCTTGCGGTAGAGCCGGCGCACATAGGCGGGTATATCACTCTGACTTTGCTGGTCGAGCATGAAAATTTTGTGCAGTTGGTGGTAGAGCTGTTGCTCTTCATGTAAAGTCATTGGACGAAGCTGTTGCTGTGGACCTTCCTGATGCGAGACCGGCTCGATTGCCGTCTCCTGTAGCCAGGGCCAGTTTCGACGCGGTTGCCTTAGAAAGCCGCTTGGCTTACAAGGCTCCAGATTGATGTTGTCTTTAGCTGCTGTCTCCAGGTGCAGATCATCCTGCTCTTCTTTCAACTCCAGCGGCTCCTCCTTGATTTGTGACTGCTCCTGCTGTTGCTGCTGCTCCTCTGCCTGATAATTCGTCACCTGTACTATGCGCGGCTGATACGTGTTGCTCTCCTCCGTCTGCTGCTCTGCCTCCATGGGCTCCTCTTCGCTTTCAGAGCTGCTGGACGACAGCTTTTGCTGTCCAGCCTTCGTTTCCATTTGTGTCTCCATCCTCGTTTCCGTCTCGGCTGTAGTCGCAACAGACTCTGCCGGCGGCAAGACAAAATTATGTTCCAGGTCAAACAGGCTAACGCCGTTGCCGGGCGTTTCCAGTGGTACTTCGAGCGGCGCTTCCAGTAGGGCATCTGACATGAAAAAATCTCCTTTGCAGCCAGCACCAATCAACGGAGGTGGCATAAACATGCTAAGATCATCGCCACCTAAGCTTTCGGCCAGAAAATCCATCAGGCTTGCCTGAACGCTGCTGAGCGACGGTAGCAATGCGGCCGCCTCTGACTCCTCTGACTGTTGCAGCTCCTCACGTTCCTCCTGTTGCTGTGACTCTGTTGGTTGCCCTACGATTGGGAACTTCGGCAGGCGACCCATGTACGGACTACCAAAAAGATATGTTTAATTTTATAAATTTCTGTATACAATTCCAAAATTTATATTTGCTCACATGGCACGCGCACAGCCCTCGCTGGGCGGCGCAGCCGGCAGACGTTCTGTAATTTCCTCTGTTATGGTATGGGTTGGTTGGATGTCGCTCAGATGATCCGTGACAGATAGATCGCTGCTGCAACTGGTCTCATCCAGTGCTGGTAAGCGACGATCCGTGCGGAACTGCTGACGCTCTAACAGTCGCTGCTCATCTGTAAAAATATAATTCCATGAACACTTCGTACTTATTTCGAAGTATAAAATATGTTTACATTCAGCGCGCACGCTGCGTGGCGTTAAATTCGGTTTAGCCAGTTTCCACCAACCATGTTCCAGGCACACACTGACACCAGACTGAAAATACTCGGGGCTGTTGTGGGACAAAGCGCCCGAAACAGAACCTGCCCATTGCTTTCGACGACGTCTGTTGGTTATAGTTATCAATTAGCCGTTGATTTTCATCTGCCATTAAACTAAATTCACTTACACATGTGGCTCAAAAATGTAGTTCCAGTTCTTGTCAACAAAGCTGATGATGTGCGTCCGCCAGTGGAAATATCCGTGATGGCTCAAGCCCTTCGATTTGAGTGATAAATTATAGAGAGTCAGCGTCAACACTAACAGCCAGGGTATGCGTTGCCGCACAAAGCGCTCCTTGGGAACTACTTCGCCTGCATCTTGCTCGTTGCGTACGCATTTGATACACGTGAAATCGAAGAAGACATCACCGAGTAAATCACCAGGCGTGCTGGCATGTGGCAGACACTTGATGTGCACGCTCTGCTCACATTTCTGACAATCCAAATAGTTGTCATCCTCTATAGCAGCCTGGCAATAGCTACATCGGCAATTTGTATCGTCAGTCGCCTGAGAACGCGGCATGGCAAACGCTGAACAAATGTAAACAGCTTTTTCAATAACAATTTGTTGCGCCGCTTTCTTAAAATGCGCTAGAGGTGTTGCCAGACTGGTAAAAATACCAAAAATTGTGCCCAGCGATGCCAGGCACGTGCAGGCACTTACAGTAACAGCTTTTTCCTGAGTATTTATATCTTTTAATGAATGACAATTCCAGCTGCGTATTTCAGCTTCAAAGTTGTGGATAACGCATTCGCTGTACAATTATTCAATCTTATGACATCGATACCGTAGCTGTGAGCTTTTGTCAAGTCACGGAACCAGCTGTTCATAAACATTATCTTGTGCTAATCTTCTAGTATTTTATTTTGGGCTAGGGTTTTAAAATGTTCAAAAGCGTTTCAAAATATGCTTCGCTGCGTTTTGCAATATTTTCGCAAATCAGTTTTAAAAAAATTAAAACAAATTTTAAATGGCAAACTGAAATTCTTGTTGGTAGAACCAACATGTTAAGAAAACACAAATTAAAAAAGAGTAATGAAGCGGTATGAAATGATTTGAAAAGGTGGTTTAACACAAAGCAAATCTGATTCGATTGGCACGCCAATATTCAGTTATCACGGTAAGAGCTTTCAAGAGTTCGCTCTTCCTTTTCATTTCAATTTCAATTTTTGTGCACTGCTGCCTTGTACTTGCATACACAGCTCAGGGAGAGCGAGAGAGAATAAGAGTAAGCGCATAGCTGTATTTCAGATGATAAGGCGTCTATTTCGTTTGAGCGCAATAATTGTCGTACCATATTCACTGCTTAATCCTCAAGAGACCTAGCCGAGAAAATACATAAATTGTATGTGCATATGTTCATACATATATACCTACATATGTATGTATGTATCTTATAGGTAATACAATACTTGTAGGTACATACATACATTCATACATATGTATGTACATAGATGCATGTTTGCGTGACAGTGCTAATCAAAATTCATAATTCGCTAACGATTCTAGACATTTCTCTTCAGGACAAAGGTCTATAAAATTGTAGTATTTATATTTTATTAAAATTGCTTGCCTTTCTTCAATATAATTTCTGGAAAAAACTCGAATTTATGTCAATGTTAACATCACAAAATCAAAATTTAAATCAAATTATACATGATTTTCATTTAAAGATAATTATCTTAAATCTGGTTATATATATATTTATAGCAATAGCTTTTCAATCCTTGTATTTATCATTGACAAATTTAATATACTCCTCGTCGAGAAAGCCGTATTTGTTTTGACCCACATGCCGCTCATACGAAATGCAATTGCTTCGTACGCTAAAGACGTAGGTTGTGTATGGACAGTCGTCGTCAGCCATCAGATTCTTGATCTTGCAGAGAAAACTGTGCAGCAATTGCAGACGTTTGTTCAATTTAGATTCATGTTTCTGCAATGGCGAAATAATTGTGAGACTTTAGTCTTTTACACGAATACAAAAACTTTAGAAATGTTCACCTTATATAAGTCAGAAACTTGAATTGTTTCAATTGGCTGTGTTACCAATGCTTTTTCATTGAAGTACGCCAATCTGAGCTGCTCGATGCCGGCGAAATGGGCTTGAAAGAGCCACTCAGGTTCAACTATCTTCTCACGCGAATAGTCATTGTTTTTCATTTGACGAACTTTGGCCATTGTAAAGCGCAGCTGCTTAAGTACCCCTGGATCTTTTCTATATGTGTATTAAGTAGTACTTAGAAAAGCTCTGATAGTTTGTGAAATTGCTTACAAATCGCCTAGCGGCTCTGTATTATCGACGCCCGCAATCTCAGCCGAGTAAAGTATCTTAAATATACCCAGATGCGCGCTGAAGTTCACATAGATTTGTTTCCGCTGATCAAGCCGTTTCTTTACATCGGGTAGATCACCTGGCGTATCTAGGATGGACATATAAATATATGTATGTTTTTTTTCATATCGACTTTGGAATCATCGTAAACTTACCAACAAATAAGTTCTTGCGTAGCTCATATTGATAACTTTCACGTGGTGAGGGGTTTAATGCATCATTAAGAGACTTAATATAAATACAATCCTTAAAATGTATGGCCGCAATTTTAGTATTGCGGCCGAAATTGATTTGTTTTAAAGCGCCACGAGTTGTGCAAATATCAAATTTTGGTCGTTGATTTTGCGACATGATGTAGTGCAATGTTTTTTGTTTCAGATAATGAACAGGATCTGATATGCTAAAGATCATATCTTTATAGCCCTTGGCCAAGTCGATTGGATACTCATCAGGGTTGGGCTGACGGTAAAAGCCAATGCATTTTGGAATTATAAGTATTTGTTCGTCGACATCATATGTTGTCACGTTATGCAATTCAATATTTCGCAATTTCACGTTAATATCACTTAGTATGTTCTTATAGCAAGCTAATACCTTTTTTTCTGCCATTGCAATGGATAATTTTTGGAAATTTGTGCTTTCCGTTTGCAAACTGTAGTTAATATGTGATAATCAAATATGTATATGCAAATTTACAATAATATATTATAACCACTCGTAACTCAAAGAGTCTCTGATTCAATTTATCGGTAGAGCTTGCTTAAATACGAAATTGACGCTTATCAGAACTCAAATGAATATAGTATATACAATGTACGTACATAGGCTTATTCGCTTTATGCTCTATTCGGCACTGTTAAAATCACCCGCTTTTTTGCAATTTGTGCGCGCGAATTCATGTTAATCACTTGTTAAATCGCCAATCGTGGGCATCGCGACGCGTTAACAGAGCTTTCTGTTAACATCAAATTTAACGCTTCTGTTGTTTAGTCGTGTTTAACATTTAACAGTGCTCGTAATAAAGGGGAATCCCGTAATTTTCGTAAATGCTCTGCTTCGTAACATTTCGTATCGCTCAAGTCAAACACATCGTTTGCTTGAGTTAAATGAAGCAAACTGTCTTTTGCGTTTGTATGGGTAATTACACGCAATGCTTGCTTCTTTTTGCATTTATATGAATGTATGCATGTATGTATTTACTTGCACACGAAAGCAAAGATCATTTCTGTTGGGTTTTTAGTCAAACTTTTGCTGAAAGTCTTTGGATGAGCGAAATCGTATCAGTCTTTACGCGACACTCATTTGAATGAGTCACACAAATGCAATGCGTCTGACCGAAACCGATTCTAAACAAAACAAAGAGAGCCGCTCAGAGCGAGATCGTGTCTGCACAATCTTTTCGGTTATGTTACGAAGCAGAGCATATACGAAAAAATGATCAACTCTCATTTGCGAGCTCTGCATACACACATACATACATATGTATGTATATATTTTCCCTTGAGCAAAGCTAACGACCAAGTGTTTCGTCGCGAAAGATGTACATACATACATATGTATGTACATACATTAATATGCTCTACACATACATACATATGTACATATGTAAATGTATTTTATTTTTTTTTTATACTATTGTGATGAATATTTTTGCAATTTCAAGTATTATTTGGGCTTTTAGCTTTAAAATATTTATTAATTCTAAATATGTTAGTCACTGTAAAAATTTAAATACATACATTCATACATATGTATGTGTAATAAGATTTGTGATTCAACAAATTTGATAAGAAATTGAGGAAAAAATGGACAACAGTTGAAAAATTTGGAGAGTTTCCGCAAATTACTTAGGACCCGCGCCCTCTGTCAATACCCATAGTTATTAAACTAACAATCATAACAGCGTATCACTTAATTGACTTAATGAGTTGTCCCGTGCGATTGGCGCATCCACTTGGGTATTGACAAAGTTGCGATTGAGACCATCAAAGAATTTCAGGCCCGTCGCATTCTCAATGTCTCGCACATCGCAGAGCAGCGTACGCAGGTCGGTGTCATCATTGAGCGTTGTATTTGGCATCACATAGGCCTCGGCATACGGTGTACTATTGACTTCCTTTGGATCGATAATGATGATCTTGAAGAAGTGCGTGGGTATTGCGACAATGGTATTGTCTTCTGGCTGAAATTCCAAGTACCAATTGTTGCTCTTGATTTCGCGTGGCAAGTAGATGGATCCGGTATATACAAAAACAATACCGTACTTTTCGGTCATGCTGTGTACATAGTGCAGCAATCGCTCCCAGATGGTCGCATTGAAGCCGCGACTCAAAAACGGTTTGATGTTCGACATAAAAAAGACACGCGCCGCCTCCGATTGCTGATACAAGATGCCAGACGGAGGGACTGAACGTGACCGATGCCGCACCGCAAGATCCCGAAAGTCCCGGCCGATAGCATTTGTATAGCTAGAGACATCCACACGCTCACACATCCATTGAATGGCCGAGTTACGACGATCGAACGAGGTGACGAAATTGAAAGTCTCATTTAGACTGATCTCGTTCATGCTGGGGAATCCGTACTTCATAATGGAGCCCATCTGGTGCGATTCACTATCGGCAATAACATTGCAATATTCATTGAACTCCTTCACTTTAAAGATATCTAGCTGAAATATAGACAAACCTCAGTATTCAATTCTCGGAAACAAGCTGCCCAGGGGCGGGGCACTTTACCAGTCCATAAAGTTTGCGTCGTATGAAATAGGCATGTGGATTGTGCTGTTCCAATCTCTTAATGTTACGGATCACATGCTGGTGCTGATAGAAGGCGCCCAAAGCAAAGAACGTACCGGCTGTGGCAGCAACAATAGCCAGTTTACCACTTAGGGGCATGTCCATGTCCACATTTCCACCAGCTACTAGTACAGGGCTAAGAAATTTACAAAACAAATTCAAAAAGAAAACTAACAATTTTCGATTCGAGTCTAAAGCGTATTCATTTATTTCTCTAATGGAAATTTCTGTTGAGAGTTGTAAATCAAAGTGATGTATGCGCCGGATGTATCAAAGATTATTGAATATCTGTTACCAAAACTATTTGTGAATTACAAAATATAAATAAAATGAAAACACAAAATTAGAAACCTTCAAGTAACATAATTTTTGTATTTTCTCTAATATATATTAAATTATTCTATAAATATTTTTTTTTTAGACTATTATTAATGTCATTTGTGTTTCATTTCAAATTTAAAACCACCTAAAGTAATGCTTAGAAAAAATTATTATTGTTTTTTTTTTTTTTTTTTTTTTTTTTTTTTTTTTTTGTGTTTAATCTCAACATTAATTAACCAAGTGATTTGTGTCGTAGCTGCGAGCCACAACTTGCGACCGCTTGGCAAATGTTAAAAGTTTTCGTGTAACATAATTCTTTGGTGCAAGTCTTAGCCGTGAAAATATAGTGCTGCCAACACTTTTACTGTGCAGTTGCCAACTGCATTAAGTCAATCAGAAAAGTTGCAGTCACCGTAACCGGAAAACCCAAAGAGCGAAGCCCTTGTCTTTTGCTCTGTCACCCTCCTGTTTCTACTCTGGCAACGCAACGCCTCTCACTCCCCGCCCCGAGGAAGTTTATAATAAGAGACCAGTGCAACGGCTGAATAAACCAAAAAAGGCAGCATTAAGATTTATTCGACAAATCTCGTCGCATTTTGTTATGCTTAAAAATGTTAGTTACGGATTTATAGTTTTTGGGTTCAAGTCCAAAACTTTTTCGTTGCGTCCATTGTGAAAAGTTTTGCCATTGACAGCAGGAACGAGAACTACAAAAGGATGTTGGCCAACAAATGGGCAGAGTGGGCAACTTAGGCATGTGAATGATTTGCCTATTGTTTAAGCTATAGAATTTTGTATAATTTTAATAAAGTATCACAATGTTCTGAGGACGGTTTGCTGGTGTGGATATAGATTTTAATTTTACATTAATAAAAGTTCTCAAAAAAAAAAAAAAAAAAAAAAAAAAAAAAAAAAAAAAAAAAAAAAAAAAAAAAATTAAAAAAAAAAAAATAAATAAATAAATAATAATAATAATAATAATGAATAAAAAGTATTTCTATATAAATATAAAAATATACATATACAGAAGAAGATTTGAAGATTTCTAATGAAATCTATTGGCTTGAATTTTTCTCCACATATAGATTATATTATAATTATTATAAAGAGGGCATACCTAAATTATTTTCGACATTAAAAAGATAAACAATTAGTTTCTTTTGAAACCAAGTTGATTAACACCAAATGCTCAGCTTTCGCTGTGACCCTAAATAAGGTCACGTGCCGTACCGTTACTTTTCAAATTTGCGATTTTTTTTTTTGTTTGCCTTTTGTTTGAAATATAATTTATAGTCGAATGCTTTTAATGACAAACGACTTTTGGGTGTAAGTAAAGCCCTAAGCTCCCACTGCTGCTGCTGCTTCTGCTACCGGGTTCCACTGGATTCCGTTGCCTGCCCGAACGGGACTTTCCGACCCCTGTTTGCCCACTTGTCAGTGGCACAAAGGAGCTGCGGGCAAAAGTTTTGTGACACTCGAGCGAACAAAGTTAAGAGTAAAATGCGCCAAAAGTGCAGTAAATTCTTTTTTTTTTTTTTTTGGTAAGGCAGGAGGGGGACACGAAACAAAATTATTTTAATTCGCAGCGAGGCCGCACAAGTGGGTCTACCACTTGGGCATCCAAATGCTCAATAAGCGTCCTGCAGCTGCTCCAGTGCTAGTGCTCCCGCCCAGCCGCAGGCTTGCCAATTAATTCCTGTAGTCTAATTGCTTCGCCCCAATTCATTAGCGTGGGCGTCAAATAAACTGAGACTCGGTTCCGCATCGGCATATTGATTGACGCCTGAAGCTGGGCTGAGGCGTGGAGGCATCGTCGTCCCACCTTAACTGCTCAAGTGCTCAAGGGTTTTTGCGGATTTTCTAATCAACGAGCCTCACGAAATTTGCATAATTGAAATGCCGCCTCACGTTCGCCAGGTGTGCCATTCCTCTCCCTCTCTCTCTCTCTCTCTCTCTGTGTGTGTGGGTCCATGACCAAAGTGCTGAAAACTTGCCACGCCCACTACGGCAGCAACATCGTCGAGAACTCGGGCTCGGCGCCTGAGCGATTGACTTGCTAAGTGCCTGAAATTTGTCGCTTCATTTGGTGTCTCATAAATAAATTATTATGCTCCGGCACCCATAATCAGGTGTCCCACAAATCTGATTTGAGCCAAGCAATTAGCCGATAACAGAGAGTCCCTGAGTGGAATTTTCTACTAATTATTTGTTACCCTCGGGCGCACAGCTGCCAAAAGGCGTCAAACTTTTCAATTTATTGTCGTATGGGTTATCTTCCAGCTAATAGGGGTAAATCATGGCTTAGTTGAATTTTAAAAGTAATAAAAGTTAATATCATATGAGAGCATTTACTGAGCAGGTTTTTTTTTTTTTTAATTTTAGAGCCTTTTATTTTACGGTAAATATTGATTACCGCCTTAAGTCATATATTATATTAATTATTATTTTTATTAATATATGTATGTATATCAATATATGTACATATATGAATATAAGAGAATATAGAATGTATGAAAGGTATAATTATT